GCTGGAGACTCCTGGTGAGATGCGGGTCTTCAGGATCCTGAACCTGCCCTCCACAGCCTCCCCTGCTCCTCCCGTGCCAGCTTCCTGGGAACAACCTTCTCCCGGGCATCGGGAAGCCCTGGAGCTCTGACCTGGGTGCTGTGATGGTGAGAAGGCAGCGGTGCGGGAGCAGATCAGAGGCCCCCGCTGGACCCTGGCTACATCTAAGCACCATCTGCAATGGCTGCTCCATTCATAACACAGAGCATGGATACTTTAATTTTTGTAATAATTGCATTTATTTCCATTTTTGGTAAAAACTATTAACTCCCCAAACACACACTTATAAATAATGGACACTGTAAATGTTTGCAGGAACAAATGGCAGAGTTGGAACCATCAGGCCGTTGTCAGCAACACCACTCTTTTTGGGGCAGGGGTGGAGGGTTTGCAGAAAACACCCAAGTTACCTACAACTTTTTCCAGCCAATTCTGCGCTCACGGATTCCACAGAAACAGACTCTTGTGCTAAATGAAGAAAGGAGCCGGGAGCAGGGTGGGGGTGGAGAGGGCTGCTCTGACCCCAGGCCACAAAGCAGCGGGCCACCGCTCCCTCCTCTCCAGCTGAGTCCCGCCTATTTCCCAAGTCGGCTTCCAGTGTTCCATGGTGCACACGTCCGGAGAGGTTTTCAACACACTGTGTGACGACCTGAAGTTCGGAGTCGGCAGAAGGGGCAGAAGGTGGGGTTGGTATTTTAAAAGTGATAGATTCAGGTCCTTGAAATTTGACGAGAAAAAAAAAAACCCAGCTCTCAGGCATCGAAGAGCACGTGAGCGTACACGGCCTTTCTGCTGGGGTGGAGAAGGTAGGTGGAAAATATCACAAGTAAATGATAAAATTCAGATGTTAAAAAATGAAGGGACTGTATCAAGGGGGTTCTGCTGAGCTGATTACCCCACGACAGCCGGGTGACCCGTCCCCACAAAGGTTTACTGTTTCTGCTTAGTTTGGGTCAGCAATTCTAGGAAGCTGTGCTTTTCTTTATGAAAAAAAAAAATCAAAAGTAGAATGTTTCATGTCATGACGATAATGCTAAGTTTAATGGTTTATCCAGCGTTTGAAGTCACCCCAGGTCCAGGTAGAGGGTCAGCAGGGCAGCCTGCAGTTAGACTGCATTCCTTTGAAGGAGCTGGTCCAGTAATTGCTAGGGAAGGAGGAGACAGAGATGTCAAGGTCACAGTCAGCATCTGTGTGCCACACGCGTCACACCTGCTGGCGGCAGGGCCGTTACCTTTTTGAAGACTTGGGCCCGGAGTCTGTTACTCTGTAAGATCACCCTTTTCTTTTGCTCTTCTTTTTTCTTTCTAACTTCTGGCAGGTTATTATAGATTCTGAAACAGATGCAGAAAACACTCTGAATGGTTGCAAGACACCATGGACCCGCATCCTGCCTTGGCCGCAGGCTCTTCTGTTTCAGAGGACAGGCGGCCTGTGGGCCACCTCGCGTCTGTGAGACACCGAGCCCCGGGGCTCCCCGACGGTCTGCAGGTGGGCGGCCCAGGCCCAGGCCGCGCAGCCCAGAGTCCCACCCGGGGCGGAGCCGGAGCAGCTGGTTGTTGGTTTAGAAGCCACTCTTCCTGTCTCTGCATTCTCTGTGACAATTAACCACTGCCTCGTAAAGGGAGCGATTCCAGCCCTACCGCTTTGCCGCTCTGCGTGTAAACTTCCCTCCTACCAAATGCCTTTCTGCCTCTCAAGTTCTGCCTTCCTGTGACTCAGCACAGGAGCAGCAGAGCAGAGGAAGCAGCAGGAACTGTCCTGAAATAACACACACGTAAACTGCATGTGTGGTTCTTCACCCGCTGCCTTCCTGAATCAGCTGTTCCCCTAGACATCTTGGGCCTAAGTGTGAGGTTCTCATCCTGGTGTCAAATTAGGAGCTTCCAAGATAAAGCAGGGCTTGAGGGGCCCTTCTTCTGGGCCCTTCCTTCCTACTTCCCATCAGAGATGGTTTAAGTACTGCTGCTAAACCCCACGCGCACAGCGGACACGCCGCGGCCTGAGCTTTTGCGGTGCTGTACACACGGTGCTCAGCTAAACATCTCTTCTTTATTTTCCGTTGTGTTTGAAAGCCAGACAGCATCTGCTTAACACGTTCCACTGTTAAAATAAGAATTACAGAGCATAACAACATGGATGATGGCGGCGTCAGCCGCTGACCTTGTCCTGGTTACAGGGCACTTGGCTAATCCCTTGACATGAGTTGTCTCGGTTAATCCTCGCAGGAGTTGGAACAACATCCAGTGTCCCGCTGTTACGTGAGTGACCAAGCCCAGCCCCAAGGAGGTCCGGACGCTGGTGCATGAGGGGCTGGGATTCCAGCCTGTCTGTCTGACTTCATGCAACGCTGTCTCCCAGTCACTCAGCACCAAATGCCCCAGGAATTGCTCACACCAGGTACAGTGCCCGGCATGCCGTGGACGTCAATTTGGTCTAAATGAATAAATGAACACACAACTGCCAAATCCAGGAGCTGTTCTTGAAAGGACCAGGAGACGACTGTAGGGTCAGTAGGAAAGCTGACACGTCCCAAAGCCCCACAGTGGAAATCCCTTTGGATCCATAGAGACGCACCTTCCGAATACAGACCATCCGAGCATGCGGGGGGTTTAGGATAAAACCTCCCAGGTCCCACCCCTGGAGCCTCTGCTGTGGCATTTTGTTAAAAGAGTGCCCTACGTAAGTGATGTGCGTTTATGCAACGAGCCACTGCGTGAATGAGGAAACCGTCGGCGTCAGCTGACCCGGAGGACCTCACAGACAGTAAGTGAAAGAAGGTCATACACACTGCGACCCCATTTATGACTAAGAATGAGGTAACTGCCTATGTTTAAAAAAAGGTCTTTTCAGGCAGAGAGAAAGGGCTGGAAGGATACACGGGATGGATCAGAGGCATGTGGTGTTTGAAGACAGGACAGGCTGGGGAAGCGGGGAGGGAGGGCGGAGCTGATCAGGATGGACTTCAGCTCTAGCTACCTCCTTTGTATGAATTTTAAAGATGAAAATGCGATTCAACAATATAATTAATAAGAAAGGAGACAAAAGCAAAGAAAGCTCTGGTGTGATCCTAGGGGTGAGTGAGGTCTGTGAGCCGGGGTCAGGGCTCACTTAGGGCACAGCCCGCAGGGCAGAGTGGACACCCCAGGACTGACTGCATCCAACGAGCCCCTGCTTCTGGCTGGGGAAGCCACGACGTGTGTAGCAGCATCACCCCGCTCACTGGTCCTCTTGGAGCCTCAGTGTCTTCTTCAGTAAAATGATAGGGTGATACTCTGTCCATAAACGCTGCTTTAAGAGCTGTTATTTTAATTGCAAGTCTCCATAAGAGCAGCTTTGGGTTTGGGGACGGGAAGGGGGAAGTTTGGCTGAATTTCCCATGAAGTTGAAAGGGGAATACTTTTGGCATGAGGTGCGCACAACTTTGCACTTCTGAAGCGGCAGGACCTGAAACCCAGTGGCCCTTTAAAAACTCCAGTTAGAGGGCTGTGAATCAGGTCATTAATGGGATGGTCCCCTTTCTCCTCACTTTCACTTTCTTATTTACAAAGAAGTTCCCGACAGATAATCCAAGGTTGGCTAATTATCACAGAAACAGTACAATCAGGGTAAAAGCAGAGATTCTGTGCCTGGAGTAAGGAGAAAATGCGTTCTTCCGATTTCAGTGGTTTCCCTCAGTTACTCTATCAATTTGGTTTCATCACCGTAATTCCTCCCAGAGCCAGACACCTTATCATGAGCTATGACATCTTACTTGCATGAACCCGGCAAACACGGCCGCGTTATTACATTTCGGTTGGGAGGCCGGGTCTCGGAAAGAACGGCAGCTTTTGTGTGTTGGTGAGAATGCAAGGGCTCCTAGGCCAGCAGCCTGCCAAGCAGAGCAGGGAGTGCAGCGGTGGAGCCCGCCGGGGACGGGGCGCCGGGAAGGCCGGCTGCTGGTCCCCACGCGCCTCCGGCCTCCAAGTGGGGATGCTTCCCTGCCGGCCGTGCCGTCAAGGCCCTCAGGAGACCGCGTCTCTCTCCTCCTCATAAAATCACCTGCAAAGGTGCGCCGTGACAAACAGCACCTGCCCCGGGCGCCGAGCGGAAAGAATAGAAACAGCCCCGACACGAGTCTGGGGAATCTCTCCGAGACCAATTACGAGGTCCAGTCCAAATCCAAGACCCACCGCTTTCCTACGGTTTTCCAAGAACAACATTGACATCCAGAGGCGCAATCTGACAACTGTACTTCTTGTAGCCAGCTTTTCAAATTCATGGCCGAGAAGACCTCAGACCTTAAACGTGGACTTGGAAATAGTGGCCCCGCTGGACAGCGCCCAGATTCATCAAGCCAGCCCTCCCCCTCCCAACTTCTTCCGACCTCACGCAACACAGCCAAGTACCTTTTTGATCGCATGTGCATCTCCTTCTCTGAAATGTACCTCTCTTTGGGTTTGAACAAGTTATCTGGAAAAAAGACAGAAAGAAGGTTTATTTCAGAAGGTCCGGACGTTGCACGTTTCTTGAGAAACATCGTGGTGGGCTTAGTTCACACTCCGTTGTGGGTCTCAGTCTCAGCCCCAGCCTGTTAACAAATACCACAGGACTCGGTAGACACATACCATAAACTGTGGTATCGGGATCAAAACCAACAGGGCGGCCTGACAAGAGTTAAATACGGCGTGAGTTTCAGGGTGAGCACGTCACAGACTTTGTGGACAGCGACTCCTTTGCCTGCTTTGTTGAGCAAGAAGGGGGCCACGGCCTGCTGGGGCAGAGCCAAGGGGGCGCAAAACGCGTGTCAGTGTGATTCTAGGAGCACAGCCCTGGGTGTGAGGTCACTGTGTCCGTAGAAACAGCTCCACACTAGGTTTTGGGTGCCTCTGAGGACAAGGAGATCTCCCAGCGATCGCTAGAATATTTCGGGAGCAAGAGTTTTCCCTCACAACTGTAGCCCTCTGTCAGGGACGCTCAGCCTCTGCATCCTTTCTGATGGAGCAATGAGCCCTTTCCAGTGTCAAAAAGTGTCACGGACGACAACATAATAGTAACATCTGTCTAGTGTCCTTCGAGAAAGTGCTTAGTGGCTGAAAGTCACCGAGTCCGGAATGTCTTTTTTTTTTAATGTCAGTACATATTATTAACCACAATGATGTTTTCAGATGGCGCATTTAAAAATGGTCTGTGTTTAAAAAAGAAACCGTGGAGACCCTCTGGCAATAACCCTGAAATTTCCGTGAGACTGTCAGCCCCATAGATTAGCCGAGTCTGGCCCAGAAAACTGCTCCTGGGGTGCTCACTGCATGGGGAGCAGCTGAGCAGCCGCCACACACACCGTCTGGGACACCTGGACGGTCACCAGCTCACCTGCCTTCACTCGGCACACATGGACAGGCAGCTCAGCGTCCCTGCCGTGAACCATGGAGTTGAGGGGGGCTTCCTGTGGTCCCAGCCTGGACCCCACCAGGTTTCCATCAGCCTCCCCGACCTGGGCCTGCCCCCCTCGCTCAGCTCTCCAGTGGAGCCACTGGCGACTTCTCAGGCTTGAGAACAGGCAGACATTTCCAGGAAGAGACAAGAAGGGGGGACAGAGGCAGGGATGAAAAGTCTACCCCCCTGCAGGGAGCTGTAACACAGCTACTGAATCACAGGACGGAAATGACACAGTCAGCCTGTGTTCTGTCTGGTTATAAGCGAAAAAGGAAAATGGCGCCATTGCTCAACTTCACAGAGGAAATCTAAGGGGGAAATAAGAGAAAGGAGGAAGAAATCAGGATTCTCCCAGGGCAGGGGTGTCCCCTCCATTCTCCCGGAAGGTGCTGGGCCCTGTGATGAGGAAAGCCAACAGCGCTGTGAAGGAAGATCAGCCGAGGTGCCTCCCAGTGCCCGCCCTCCACTCGCGCTCCAGACGGGACCGGGCCAGAGCCCAGGGCCTCAGGGAAAACCCGACTGCGTTCTGGAGAAATGGGTGTCACCTTAGAGCATCAGGGTCTCGGGCAAGCAAACGTGTCCATCTGGGGTCTCGCACTCAGACACGGAGACGGAGCCTCAGACGGAGAATGAGTCCAGTCCGCATTGGCGTTCCCCAGGCGCTCTCAGGAGGCCCCTGTGGACACGTTCCTGGTGCCCCAGGGGACAAAACTGTGACAAGCTGCATGTATAACCTTTTTATCATCCCCATCCAATTATATGTGGTCTACCTCAGAAATTAGCTTTGTTTTTGTTTCGTTTCATTTCAGTTTGTTTCTTTAGAGCACCTGATAACACAATCAAGCTTCGGTCTTTTTTTCCAAGAGGAAATAAAAACATCTGTGAGCTGTTTGGCACCTCTGCTGCTTTGTTTCCCCCCCCCCCCCGAATTCTTCTTGGCCTGCTGTGCCTCAGCACAATTTTAAATTCTGGGCCCAGCAGCCCATGTTAAGTGCAAGACAAGCAGGTCTGTATCCAAGAGGGCCAACCCCCGCTGGCGGGCGCCTCCCCACACCTCGGTTGGTTGCTGTTGACTCTGAGTTTTCATAACAGCACCAGGCCCACCAGGAAAGAGAGGGGACGAAAGGGGGGCCCTACCTCCCTGGAGGAAGTTGTTTGAAATAAATCAAGTGCGTCACTAATGGCTCCCCAGTCACTAGAGTGAAAAGAACTCTATTTGGCACTTTGAGAGGGGAACTGGCAAAGCAGAGGGGAGGGGACAGGCTGATACCTGAGGGTCAGCAACACTATCCCTAATGAACCGTTAGTGCTTACTGAATCTCAGTAGATCTTCACCCCAACCATGCGACTTGCGCATCAGTCTTTGTATTTTAGGGCTGGGGAAACCGAAGCTCAAAGGGCCAAGGGTTTCTTGCTCAGGTTCTTGCAGTGAACACATGAGTGGCAGAGCTGGGTTTCAGTCCAGATCAGTGCAGCCACGTCCACACATGCTGTTAGCCTCAGAACACACCACCAACCCCCAGGCACAGAATCGGCCTTTCGGAAGCGTGGACAAGCACTAGTCCACTTCCCGTGAGACCATCCCTAAATTCCTTTCTCCTCCTCCTTCCTTCTGCATTTAACGAGCACCTACTGTGTCTTCAGGGGATGCACAGGAGGGAAAGAAAACGACATCTTGTCACCTTGAGACCTCACTTGTCAAAGGAGACGTCAGTTAACTAACAGACCAGTTGCAAAGTATTGGGTAAGTGCTCTGACAAAACCGAATCACAGCCACACAGTCAGAGGAGACTGGGGTGGTCAGGGGAGGAGATACTTAAACCACGACCCACATGACCACCCGTGGGGGCCAGCAGAGGGGCGAGGAAGGAAGGAATGGGGGCCGTGGTGCACGCAGTGTGAGGGAGGAGGGCACGAGGGCAGAAGGGAGTAGAGGTGAGAGCAAAGACAGCTGTGCTTGTCCACCCAGGCTGCCCCTCACCACCTGGGAATCCGATTTCCTCACATGAGCACTGGAATCCGAGCCAGAACCTTCTATGATTCTACTGGGCACCAGAGGTGGGAACCATCCATGTTGGGTTTTGCAAGCCTATTAGGGAGGTTTGCAAGCCTGCTGAGTTTTCCTTCAGAGTAAGAGAGACGGAGAGCCCTGCGGGGTTGTAAACAGGAGATCCGATGTGGATCGTCAAAGGATGACTCCAGCGACTGCTCAGAAGATGCACGAACTGGGCAGAGGAGATTCAAACATGGCAGGAAGCGGGGAGACAGGTCAGTCCATCGCTGCCAGGGAAGCCAGAGAGGGTAGTGCTCAGCACAGCTGGGAAGTGGGAGGATGCAGGACTTGTCTACACCAAACGTGAGCAAAGTGAGTTGTGAAGATGGGAGAGAAAACCAGGCTTCGGGTTGAAACAATCCTTCACCGATGACTGTTGAGTTTTCACCTCTCTGGCACTCGGCTGACTTAAAGATCAACAAGACTAAGGACTCAGAGTCCAGCGTGAGAGCCAGATACGTGAAGCCTTCAGATGCCAGGACCCACGCCTGCGCAGGGAGGGGCTCACGGGGGATGCTCGGTCCACCAGGGAAGGGGCGCGGCTGGGGAGGATCCAGAGCAGGAGACAGCCAAGCTGAATCTTGAAAAAGAAAGAGGCGTCCTGATGGTGGGAGGAGGGGTGGCAGGAGGGCCGGGAGGAAGGTGGCCCAGGCAGAGACACAGCAGGGCCAGGGGGCCCGGCCTGCAGCAAGAGCGGCTTCTTCGAGGACACGTGCAGCAGGCTCCGCTGGGGACCTTATTTCACACGATGGAATCCGTCCTGCACGCTCTGTGCTCAAAAATACAGCGAAATCCCATTTATCAATTCCCTTTTAAGGGAAACTCTGCCTTGATAAAATTAAAGTGACTGGTGAGAACAATTTTCAGCCTGCTTACGGGTCTTCCCCGTTTCTTGGGGGCTTCGTGTATTGTAATTCACTAACGTGGAGGAAAGAGAACCGAGGTTCTATTTATCTCTCATTATCATTCAAGTGGAATTTTTTTTTCCCAATTAAATCACAAATTGCCCATTTCTGTCTTTCCGGAAAATCCTTTTTCCAAAAAAACCCTGAATCTCTTGTGCCTGCTCATTATTTCATCCAAACTGCTGGCCTGTTGCTAAGTGCACGCGGCAAGGCCGGGCGCGCCAAGCCCTTGCCTGGTTCAAAGGCAGCAAACAACCAGGGACCAAGATTCCGGTGCTTCTGGGGCTGTTCTTGGGGAGCAGCTGAGCGAAAGCCAAGCCCCGGCGTCCCGTTCATCTCTATAAAGACACGTGGGCGTTACAAACTTCGCCACACAAGCGTGCAAACATGCGTGCATGCCCAGGGACAGGTGGCCTCAACATTCAGACAGCGGACAGTGTCACCAGGAGGATCACCCGGACCCCAGCACGATGGGCTGTTCATGAGGCCAGAGCTCAGTCTCCTCCGCACAGAGCCCGTCCCTGCAGCTCTGATTGCAAAGCTTCATTTTTCTTATTGAACAAGTAATCTAAATGATAATCAAGTGCACGCTGGATTTATTAGTGCAGTGCCCTCCCAGAAGCTGACTTTCTGCAGTCACCCTGAGCAACTTTGAAGCATCCTTTCGAATGGGCTTCCCCCATCTTAGAAAACAAAACCGAGAGAGGTGACTGGTGGAGAGAATCCGGCCAGAAGCCAACAGCCAGCTTGGAGTGGAGATGCCAGGTCCACACTGCCCAGAATCTGCTGTTAAAGTCTGAGCCTCCCCAACAGAATGGAAATAGGCTGTTTTAAGGAAGAAAATCTCTACAGGAATTTAAGGAGGAAAATCTCTAGAGGATTTTTCCTCCAGAAAAGGACCTCAGTATGCGTGTATTCTAAGGTCACAAGGCTGTTCATTATGTCTGTGTCAAAGCCAGTGGGCAGTGGCCTTCCTGCCACTAGAAAAATCACATCGTGGTTTTCAGGAGTTAAATGCAGTTACTTGCACATCATTTCCACTCTGCTCGCCTCGGGGAGACCTCTGATTTGCTGATGTT